GGGGTGGGGGGGGGGGGGGGGGAGGAACAAAAAGATGCTTTGGGGAAACCTGAGAAGATAGATTCAGCAAATCCTTTGGTACTTCCTGAGTGGCTTAATTGATGTATGCTGCATATCTAGGAAAGGTTAATCACACCAACTTTTAGTCATCTGGCAGTCAGAGGCCCGGTTCGCTCTACAGTAAACGGAGGAAAATTGAAAATTCCAGATGATTTTCCTTTCTAGGTGTTTATTTTAGTATAGACTGAATCACCACCTGGAGTTTCCTCCCGAGAGGAAACGTAGATGTTTCTGTTGTAGAGAGAACATAGATGCCTGGCATAGATTTATATCTAAAGTTAGGTGAAATAAATTCCAGTTTTACTGGTTGTTGTCACATGCGTTCAGCACTTATGAGAAGGCACTTAATTGGGCTAGTTTGCGGGATGTGTAACTGTGACGGATTTCTTTGGCTAGCTTGATTTTCCTAGAGCCTCATTTTTTTCAGGCGCTTTCTACAGCGCAAGGGCCAAGTGCTGTTGCCTCTCCAGCATTGTTTTTAGTAGCTTCGTTGTTCTGCTTGTGTTATTTCTTGTGCCTTTTATCCTTGAGGCTGGGTGGTTAGGTTTGCGCTCAACCTCCCTGTTTTATCTAGGACTGCAACTAGCCATCCTGCCTGAGTACAGGCAGAGAAATTACGTCAGCGAAAGAATTGCCTACGCTCGCTTGCCTGCAGCTGGAGAAGTTGCTTCACTGAAATAACTGCCTGTCCTGTTCAGTGACCACCTCGCTGCAGATCCTCAGTTTTCAGGATCACTGGCTAAATTGGCCTCTGGTTGTACTGCAGAATCATTATTGTCACAAACTAAACTTTCAGTTTGATCTTATTTTGGTTTTGTTTATTTTTAAAAGTGATTTTGCATATATAAGTATATTAAAATTCAGAGTCACCTTGGAATGTTGTTTGATCTTCCAGGATTTTTACCCAAGACCTGGAATGAGAATTCGGTTTATTTTTAAATCTGTTCTTAACTTTGTGTTCAGAGGCATCACGTGTGTAGGCATAAAGTGACCTTCCGGTGTGCAGTTCCCACAAAGTTAGAATGTGGGATTATCAGTTTAGAAATAAAGGCTAGTCTATGTTGTAATAACCAGTGTGCTCAAGAAACATCCATTACTCTTACTCTTTCTAGCTAAAAAATAAATTATTTCTGAGTTTTTTCTAGAACCGCTTGACAGAATGATGTAGAGCTCTCCTGGTGGTGCAGTACTTATTTAGGGAAGAGATCATAATATAGTCAGAATTAAGTGTGTGTTTAAAATGCATGCTTCTTAGAGCCAAGCCAGGCTCTTATTAAAGAAGTCTTTAGCGAGTCTGCGAGTCTTTAGCGAGCCCTTTGGAAATCTGAAAACTTCAGAATCTTCCAGGAGCGTGGCCCCCTTTGCCCTGTGGCAGGACTATAAATCATTGAAAAGTGGGCTTTTTGCCACAAAAGCATGGATTTATTCTTCAAACGGTGCCTAAAATCTCATAACTCTTATGGCAAATGATGTATGAAACATAATCAAAAATATGGTGTCTGATCTATATTGGCAATAAATAGTTTGTTACTGGCAATTGGCTTCAAACGATCTCAGAATCTTTAATCATAACAAGTGGCCTTACGCATATAAGATGCAATACAAAGTACGTTTGCAGGAACCTTACAGTTTTAAGGAAGATGACAAATCATGATCGGGACTCTGCGAAGACTTATCTGTGTATTTGTATTTTTACACTGTGATTAGTTTCGCAGAAGTCCTTGCGTTTGCTTTCTCTGTGTGAGGTTTAGCATGTTGGTAGGCTTTGCATGGGCAAAGCCTCTGTCCAAATTTTAGCTTCTTAGATTTTCTGAAGTTATTTTTTTGTAGTTTAAGTGGTGACTAAGTGTGTGTTTGGGGTGAGAGGGGAGATCGAGTCAGAATATGTGTTTGAAAAAGTAATATTTAGCTGCACAGTCTTTAGTGTTGCGTTAGTATTAGTGGCTTGGTCGCGTTCATGAATATATTTTGTTTTCCAGGTTAAAACTCTTGTTACGTTGATAGTAACTCAATTTTTGATCTAGGCTTTGTGTAGGATAAACAAAGACTGGAAGAGTAATGTTCCCTGCCTTACCGTTTCCCCATCCTGGTGTTAGTCTTGGAGAAATAACACTTTTCCCACATTCACCTGAGATTTGGAGAAGAAAGTGTTAGAGCGCAGAATACTGTGGTTCTGTTTCATTGTAATTCTTCACTTTTTTATTTTTCCTTTTTTGCTTTAGGAGTTAAAGTTTGTGTGTGGACGGTGAATTGGTCAAAATGATTATTTAAGCAGCTGTATTAAATTGTGGTGCTATACTAGGGGATGAAAAGGGTTTAATGTTTTAGAGGAAAACGGAATATCCTAAAATTAGACCTGATGCTGTTCAGC